TGCCACCTTCCGGTTACCACCTTCTAGTCACCACCTTCTGGCCTGGCGATTTTTCCATTCGTAGAGGGAGGGAGAAGCACCGTGAAGAGATCCATGGCAGAGAATTTCGAGCATTATTTTCTATTTTCTCAAATTATGGCGCAGCACCTGCACTAAAATTCGATTCTCGGCGTAAAATACGGAAAATTAATATTTAATTCCTCATCGTGCAATTTTCATGAGTCTGGCTGCTCGAGTCGAGACGTTGGAGCGTAAACGATCCGTAAATGTTCTTTAAATGAATTGCTCACAGTGTGCCCAATAGAGATATCCGACTGCCGTAGCCGATGCCATCGGATTTACTCGTCATCCTTCTTACGAGAGTGGTTTTGTCGCGAATGAACACATGCAAATGAGGTGGATTCCTCAACGTCTAAACTCTTCGAGTCCCTATTTGGAATGTTTTAGATAGTTGCTCCCTTTTACCCCCGAGCCGACGTGCCATCACTTGTGACTTGCGACTCGGGGAATCTCCTCGATGCGAATCGCTTCTAAACTCATAGGTGTCCGTCGTGTCGTGACCGTTCCTCGTCTGTCGACTCCCGTCGGCAAGCCGCGTTCGTGCGAGTCGAGCCATCGGACCGATCCGATCGTGGTCTTGGATAGTGAACACCTCGAAGCACGAAACGGGCGAATCGGGGAGAGACGGCAAAGAAAAGGTACGGGAAAAGGAAACCAAACGGAAAGACAAGAGGAATGAAAACCGCATCCCCCCCCCCCCTCCCGGTTTTCTGCGCGTTTTCCAAGCTGTCTGGACGCCGAAGGAAAAGAGGCAGGATAGACATTTCCCCCCGGTCGAGGCATCGTGTTCCGTGCCGACGATCCTTTCGTTCGGGAAGACTCGATTCTGCAGTGTTGCTGGCGTGCAGTCTAGCAGACAAAATTCTCGTTTTTACAGTGAAATGGTAAATTTAGGAGGAAGTCGAGTCTCCGCTGGATGCCAGATCAGATCGTCCAGATGAAGACGGAATCGGAGAGGTGCGATGAGCATCTTCGGCAGAGTCCTTTTATTTTTTGCACATACTGACTTTTGTTATCGCTGCATAACTTTTTTTGCCATAGAAGTCTATTTTTCTTTCACACTACCATGATTTTTGAGTCGACAGCACCGACTAACGTAACACCGACAATCGTGGCATTCATGGTCGTAAGGTGTTTGTGTAGCCGTCTCTTCTTCGGTTACATGCAATTTCCATGGGGTTTACCTTATATCACCTTAATTCCGGCCGACACGATGGCATATCTGACTCAAAAGGGGAGATATCGATCGCACAGTAAAGATATACTTCCGTGCCAAAAAAACAGCCGTGAACTCACGTGAAATAGAGCGAGAGGAAACGCAGAACACACACACGCGGAACTGAAATACTGTAGGCCCCACTTTTTCCTGGCAAAAACGACTGGACGGGAGGGGGATCCTTCGCCTCATCGCTTTTACTCGTCTGGTTCAAAACAGACTCATGGGGAATCTACGTAAGACTCCGAGGGGGTGCGAAAGTGGTTCGTACGAGATGGCATGCAAGATCAGCGTATTGCAATAACTACGTACGACGATACCCTTTCTGTGCAATTCCTGCCAATTATATTCTCTTCGCCATGAGGTTCCAGTCGTGTAAGGCCCTCATACCATGCAGATGCAAAAGAATTTGTCGTTCAAGTTCGTTTTTGTTTACATCCGTGGCTATATTTTCCATGAATATGGATCAAGCAGTCACTGCCACCACGATCCACGTTGGAATCCTTCGATTTTTCACATTTCCACTCGTAAAAAAAATCGAATTCAAATACAATTTATTCGAGGGAAATAACCTATGCTATTATGCTATTTTATCCCACCTCCAAAACTTCTCCAATTAGCTTTCTCATACCGCCATACAATAAGAATTTTAATGCTTTCAGCACCCATCGGTGTTCCTTGACATGGATCATATGGATCCTTGACATGGATCATATGGATCCTTGACATGGACACGACATGGACACGACATGGATGATATGGATCATCTCTTTATTCCAGGATTTATTTAATGCTCGTAGTTAATAAATGTAATCTTCTTGTGGTGTTGTCCTTCACGAAAAGTCGCAACAACATATTCTTGCTTGGGAATTTACAAGCTCATTGATCCTAATAATTGGTTGTTATGGCTCCAGAAGCACACGAACGCAATCTACTTCCGAGCAGTAAGAGGACCCAAACACCTATTTCAGCGCTTTTAAGTATCCATTCGGAGTACAGCTAAAATACTTTTATCCCACTTTGAAACTTCCGCCAGGTATCATACACGAAGTTTTCTTTATGTTCTCATAAACGTATAATACTCCATACTCCATAATTCATAATTTTTCTGAAATTCAACATCTTCGAATCTCCTTTATGCAGCCGCCATAAATCACGTCCCCTTTGGGTCATATCTCGGTACAAATGACAAGCCGATCTCATTCATCAAGTTCAATTCATGCAGTCCCCACCATTTCTACCATATCTAGAGCAGTGGTTCTCAACCCTTTTTATTGCTACCCATCGAGCCCTCCTCACATATTTATGCGACCCACAAATTTAGAAATGTCCAGAAAAATGTAGCCATGTGACTCGGAAAACATCCAAAGTTTTATTACAGAATTACGCTCTCATGATATTGCTTTCTTCATTTTCCCTTAGTTTCTTTACCTCTTGGAGCTTCCTCTGAAAGAACTCATCTGGTTTATATCCGTCAATGTTCGTTGGTTTCCATCCAAATTCCGCTTTGAAAGGCTTCAAGCAGTTCGCCACAAAGCCAGTTTCTGGTTTCGTACTTTCTGACACGGTGAAACCACACTGAAGGCACAAATCATTGTTTTCTGATTAGTTTCATCAAGAAACGACCCGTCATCATTTGGATGTCAAGTCTAAATGAGTAACTACAGGAAAGTTCGGATGAGATGAACTTTGTGAACCTCCCCCTCCCCAAAAGTAGAGAGAAGGAGATATTTTATATCAGTTTAGGTAGCAGAGAAACGAAGTCGAGAAAATGAGCTTCAATTTCTGCCCAGGAAAACAGCGTCACCCCTATCATGGCACCGAGGAACCGGACTGGACCGACGAGGATTCCACTGGAGATAAACGTTAACAGCAAGAATGAGTAAAAAAAAAATACATTTTATAAATGCCATTTCTTTGAATTACTTGCTTGCAAGCCTTCTAATCTGGATTAGTCGATGAGATCGTTCCTAGAAAGTTAGGCTCATGTAAAATCGTCCCTCGGTTCGGCACTCATTATTGATCTCTGTTTCCTCTAATCTCTCTCAAATTTTCTGTTTTACCTACAATTCATTCCATTCTCTTGCGACTCAGCTGGAAGACCATCGCGATAGTGCAGTGGTCGGCAACGGAAGCCTTCCCTCTGGCCCGCGAAGACCCGGGTATCGGACATTACGGTCTGACAGAAGACGTTCAATAAAATTTTCATTTTAATGACACTTGATAGGTGTTGGCTCGCGAACGTGCGGCATTCTGCCATCCGGTCCTCTGTGAAATTTAGTTGCTGACCTCTGCACTAGTGGGTCGCGATGGTCGCGTGATGGGTCGCGACCCATCGGTTGAGAACCACTGACCTAAATAGCAGCCAAAACAAAAACGGTATCAACTTTTTCCTAAATGCATTTCCAAAATCTCAACTTTCGCAGGTCAATATCGCATTCAATGAGATCCTTCCTAAACCCCTCTTAACAACAACAGAGTTCTGTTGTTGCGTTGGTGTCATTAGTTGCATTAGTGGAAGACACTAGAATCACTCTCAAGAACTTGATGTCAACTTGAAGTGATTCAGCCTCCACACTTCTGTTCCTCGTGATATCCCAGGTAGAACCATCAAATGAAACTGCATCATTTTATAAGGCACTTGCCCACTCAGTCGCAAGTTCTTAAGCTGAAACCATAATTGCTTCTTTTTTTTTTTACCCCGTGCATAGATTTCCCCCTTTTTGTACCGGGTGACAGATCCAGTGGTCACGCCCGAATTATTTTCAGATGCTACTCCTTGTTTCTGTCCACGTTTTCGCAACCCGTCTGTCCCTTGTAATTCTCCTTTCTTAAAGACCACAATGGTCCTTTTTTTTTCTTCAAAATTCACTCTCGGCTTCCACGCGGCACAAAAGCTCTCCAGTGGCTGTTGCGTAACAATGTGATTCTTTTTTTTTTTAAGACTGGACATGCGGTGGACAGATGCGACAGCGGATGTGTAGCGATACACAGAGAGGAAGGGAGTGGCTACTTGGCACAGGCCCCACACCCGACTACGGTCCCTACGGCAGGGATGCCCAAACACGGTCTCATGTACTCCACATTGGGGCCAGCTCATGGGTTGCCTAGGCCCATGACTGGTACGAACAACTTCTTAAGACGCACTACACCCGCATCACTTCGGCGTGATATACAGTAGAACGTGTCACCCGACGCCGTCCGGACTCCCGTCCCCCTTGCACTGCCGACTTCCTGAAAGACATGAGGCCACCTTTGGACCCAGGAGCCAGCCATCCGTATCCTTCATCAGCCGACACGACTTCGATTCCCGTCGATATCTCACGTCCCATGTCTGCTCACTGCTCAATTTCTGAATTTGCCGAACTTTGCGATCACTAGAATAAGTAAATGGCTTCTTGTAGCGGTATGTCGACTCACCAGCACGGTAATGCCATTTCGACTTTTAAGCTCATCTCTAAAGTAATTAGTATTGGTGGAATTACATATCACACAGTCGTTCTGACCGTACATGTGTCTCATCCAAAACCACACGATGGACGTCATGTACCTCGCCATTTCCTTTCTTCAAACCAAGCTAATACAAATAAAATGCTTTTTCAGACAAGGCATTAAAAAATAAGAAAAAGACATTCCAGACGAAGTTTCGCTGACGAGGTGAGAACAATTTTCCTTCCCTTCATTCTTCATTCTTGTTCTAAAGAAAAATCTGAGGATCAAGAGCAGGGGAATCTGTTCCCATCGAGCGCACGAAAAGAGCCTTCTTCGAGCCCTCGGGTGAATCAGGCACACTTGTCGTTTCTTCGTATTACTCTCTCCTACTTTATTCAGATATTTCCCACGTGTGCCAAAACAGAGATGAGATTTGAGTCGATCGGAAGTGCAAAATAAAAAAGGTGCAGCTTCGGAGTCCTGCGTCCCTGAAGGGATCGGCTAAAAAGTATCACAGAGAGGGGAGAATACCGGGTGAAACGGAGAGAGAATCGATCAAGAAGAGATGGTCTCTTGGATCCAGGGCATGTACTCGGAGACCCGAGTGTAGACCCCGGGGAACCCGGGTTCGGCGCAGCGATGTCCGAAGGACACCACTCCCACCGCGTACCACGTCCTCCCTCCGTCCTCGGGTTGCATCAACGGCCCTCCGCTGTCACCCTGTCATCCCATCCGACCCAGTTACGAACTCTCCATCCTCTGAAGGGACGAGGAGGGGTAGAGAGAGAGAGAGAGACTCACCTGGCAGGCATCCTTCCCTCCTTTCCCGGCGCACAGTTTCTGAGGTGTGATTTGAACATTCTTGAAAGGAGTGTAAATCCCGCGACATTTCTCCTGATCCTCTACCGGGACCTGGACCTCTCGCAACACGTCACTCGTCCTCCCGTCTTCACGCACGAATCATCGGAATCAAAACCAGAGAGAATTGAACGAAACGATGCGTACTAAGAATGGCAGTTCTGACGAATCGATGGGCCGAGAGGCCCCAAAAAAGGAAAGAAAAGGGGCGAAAGAAGTAGGAGAAAGACTGCATCGAAGAAGTTGAAATCTCACTGAATTGGACGGTGCCCCAGCCGGCCACAAAGGGGCTACTACCAGTCAAATCCCGGTTTCTGATGCCCGGATCATTTGGTAGACAGATGGGGTGCACTCGACCTGCAATATCAACAGCCGTTTTTATAGAAGGTGGCAAATAAAGTCCCCCTAGAATATTAACCAGCAAATATATGTTCTTGTTCGAGCTATTTCCATGAAAATTGCCTTGTGCGTGAACTGACTCGTTCCCAACAGATTTATGAAATTTTTTGCACATTAATTATGCCAAAGTAAAGCTGCGAGCGACTATTTAAAATAAATTGTAGATAGAGATGGACATGGAACTCCAGTCTCAGAGCAAATAAACTCCACTTGCTCGTATTGATATATATTGATTACCAGTCACTAAGTGAAACCATCTGCAACAAAAGGCGAGCCAAAATAATGAATTTGAAAAGGAAGAGATGAGTTTTCGATGTGGGAGGGGCGACACCCAACCGGAGAGCTAGGGGATTTCCTCAACTGGAAAACCAGCATCTGTAAGTGTCCGTTTTCGATATCCATTTTCCTTCGAATGCCTCTGTTCGATGGATCGAAATGAAATGTCAAAATACCTGTTGGAATCATAACAGTCTATACACACATTACAGGCTTCGTGAGAATGGCTCCAGGAGGTGCCGAGACTCGTAGGTTAAAGCTCGGGCGTCTCTTCTGCTCGCGCCGTAGAAGAGACGCATGTCGACGACGTGAAGTGGGGCATGCAGATGCTTTATCGGGAGAGGAAGGAAATCCTCGGACGTACGAGTGAAGGGGACGGGGGAAGCGAGTTCCAAGACGGCGATATCGTTGTCGAAGGATTTCTTATTGTACTGGGGATGCTGGATGACCCTGGAAACGGGATAATCGTGATGCTGCGCTTCGTCCGTCTTGGAGATGTCGTGATCTCCCAGCCTCACCACTTCCCTGCACCAAGAATCCACTGAAACTCGTCCCCCAAAAACCCAAAAGAGGAACCGGCGGGGGCGATGGGGCCCGGACTCACAGGTCGCTCCGATCGATGACGCAGTGGGAGGCGGTGAGGACGTGTCTGTTCGTGATCAAAGCTCCTCCGCAGAGGAAATCCAGTCCGACGTCCGTCCGGTATCCGAGAGCCCCGAGCCACGGCCATGCGCCTGCGTTTCATCGGATCCAGAGGGTTTCATTCTTTCGAGCCGAACCGAGATGCAATCGCTTTGCCGCAGAACGATCGTTAAGAATGATGATGGTGCGGAAACCGACTCCACGATCGTGACGTAGTTGATATCGATATTCGCGAGAGAAGATGATGATTGCGGGAGGAGCGCGATGAAAACGCCGCGACCATCATAAATTGGTGCATATTGGCAAAATTTGCAAGCAATGAAACTGCGATTCGATGATCGACTAGGGAATCGGATCTATGAACTCTGATAGACCCTCATTTAGAAATTAGCCAGAAACGCGCAGGACGATCGGTGCATCGGTCCACCCTCTACTCCGATGGGGGATGGAATTACAAGGCTCTGTCAAGTGCCACTGCAATAGCACAGAACTACAAATAGTTTAGCTGTATTTCCTTCAACCTTAGCCGTTTTCTTCGGTCATCCAACTTAATAACGTTTCCTGTTTCTTCGCTGCAGCCGCACACTCACCTTTCGCCTTTGGATCTTTCGACTCCGATTCTCGAGCCAAACAGATATGGTGTTACACTGTTTGGAGTTACGTCAGTCACGAAGCAAACCTTGGAATCGGTGAAATGTGAGGCCACAGGAAGCGCAGCCGACAAGAAGCACCCTCGTGACATTCGACAGCGACAAACAAGCCGAGCGATACCGGCCAACCACTCCATCCCGTTCGTGGAGCCGACCGACGAAAAGCCACCGTCTATCGAACGATGGGGGCAGGTAGGCGACCGGTACCGAAACGATCGGCAGCGATCGCGGTCCAAAGTTGCCGGTTTCGCGACTTCACTTCGATCGGATTTCCTCGAACCATCCCCATCGCGACTCGCAGAGGCCGGATGGACTCGCAAGAAATCTCACTCTCGGCAACTTGCGTCGCGAACGCACCCATTCGCTCGTCTTCGATACCGTCTTTTAACGTTGGACACGAATACGATCGCGACGAAGAGAGCGGAAATAGAAGGTAACTAACCGAGTTCGGCCTCTACGCCTCCGACGATTCGGAAATGGGTGGCATTGCTGAACCCGCACTCGGGAGGCGACAGCAGCGTTGCAGGTGCAGGTGGAGGGGGTGGAGGAGGAGTGGGAGGTGGTGGCGGCGGTTGGGTCGATGGGGCCGGTTGCGGTGGTGGTGGTTGCGGTGGTGGTTGCGGTTGTGGTTGCGGTGGTGGTTGTGGTCGCGGGGTGGCCGGTCCCGGGAAAGCTCGGTGAAGCGGACAGCAAACGAGGGGGAGACCCCGGGCGTTCCCGCAGACCGCCTGCCTCAGTGTTCGAATCGCAGACGGAGCATCCTTGGCCAACAGATCGATGAATTCCGGGCACTGTCTGAGGAAGATGCAATTCCCCTGTCTCCCGTCCGGTCCCAAGCAATTTCCTCCCCCTCCGGGTTGAGGGACGGGCACGGGCTGAGGGGGAGGAGGGGGCGGGTCGTCCGGGAACACCACTATAGGGATGGGGAATACTTATTTCCGAATTTTCTCGTATACGAGTCGAAACAGGGCCGAGAGGAAAAGTAACAATAAATCAATGAACGCAAGGGAATGAATTAAGAAATAAATAAAAAATGAATAAATAAACGATAAGATATATGAATGAAGCAAGGCACAGGAAATGCATTTAAATATGGAGAATTCGCTTCACGAAAGGACAAGTATGTGTAATTGACTTCCTAAAATCTTGGAAGCATCACGCTCGGCAGGCGATTTCTGATGAACCATTACGACCTCTCTTATCGTGAAGCGGAATACAATGAGGTCTGGGGAATCCCAGCCCGACCGACGTGGAAACAAAGGGCTCGCAAGGGCAAAGTCATCGGGTTGCATCGTGCAGGACGAGAGGAAGCCCATTAACTCGCGGGATCCTGTTCGGACGCAATGAGGATCGTCGTTTCCGCGACCGAAAACCCACAATCACGTTTCGTGGCGAAACTCGGACAAGGTTCCGTGAATCGGCGGCGTATCTGTACCGGTTTGATTGTCGGGGAAAACCAAGGCCGAGCGATTCCAGGAACCGGACGGGCGATTTCCATGTCAGAAGCCCTTTTAACTGCACTGTGTCCGGGATATGCGCATGCAACTAAACGAAAATAAACTCAAGGAGTGTTGCAAAGTTTCGAGAACGCAGATGATCTCCGTGCCTCATTTCCCATTCATCTCGCGAAAACAGGGAATATTACCGCCGGAAGAGAAGCCGAGACGGTCCCGACTCATCTAATGTAGGTCGAGGGAAAATTGAGTAATCGCCGGTGGAGGAACGGGAGGAGAGGACGATGATCGTTTCGTAAATCACCTTGAGAGACGACAAGCGACGCGAAGGCGACGACGAAGATCGGAATCCACGAAACGAAATCACACCACTTCATGATCCTCGTCCTCCTCGAGTCGGAACGGTCCTTTTCTTTTTCGAGTCCGCGAAAACGAGGGCGAAGGATCGATGGCTTCGAGGCGCAGTCCACGAATGATCGAAATCCCCCTCAGTCAGCGTGCTCGGGGGGCCACGGAAGAGGAGCGGATAAACCTTGAGAGAGGATGCATGCAGGACATTATCTAGCATGACCAGCGGGAGCAGACGACGGGCACGGTGACGTCACGTGCCCCGAGGCTTCGGCCAGCAGACGACGGCATTACCAGCACCGTCCCGCTCCCTCCCTGGCCCATCCCACTCTTTTAACGGGGAACATGCACCTATTAGAACAAGATCGTATGTGCTTCCCGATGAAAATTCACGGGGGAATGCATCCGTGCCTTGAAAATCGTCGGGCCTCTCGCTTTCCAACATTTTTCTGCGTCTCTTCTCACGATGGCGTCGGAAGAGGCACACGGGAGTGTTAGGGTCACCCACGCGCTCTCTTTCGCTTCCTTATTATCGAAGAACAGAAGATGAGATCCCTGGAATACCTGCACGTTATCATCGAATGAGAATTCCTGCAGAGTCCGCGATTTACTTCACTTGCAGTTTCCTCTGCATAAAAGCTGACACGAATTACGAATTATTCGTATCTAAAAGAGGTTCAAGCATGGCGGCTGTTTTTCTCCTTGTCGATCGCCCCGGCACCGTGCAGGTTACACATCACGGGTCTGATTCTCGAGCGACGAGCGATTCGGAAACGAGATCGACGGTTGCATCTCCAGGGCTTTCGCCGTTTTGCGGGGACTCAGGAGCCAAATTGCTTGCCAAATAAATCTTTAACTTCGTGTAAACCACTCGACACAACAAAATCAAACAGTGTGCGCTGTATTTTTCAGGAGTATAAAGTGAACTCATGAAATGATATTAGACTTATTTGACCGATCCACATTAAGGTGAGTTTACGAGTGACAAACCCTGCAATGTAAAACAGACAACCGCTACATATACCTAATAGTTAAAGCGAGCTTGAAGTTGTAGGTAGGCTTGAGGTCTTTCGTTTGAGGTCGACATCACAGTTCAACACGATTTCAATACATGGAGGTGCTTAAAACTGTTGGAATCGTCTAAAAAATAGGAAAGATTCAATTCCTTACCTCCTCCACGCTCCACAAATCCGATTCGTATACGAATTTTGAAATGGGTAGCAAAAATAAAATAACACTTTCTGGTTTCCTTTCTTAATGTCGGAATTCTATTTTACGAAAATGCATGGTTCTAACATGGAATACGTAAAAAATACTAAAAAACGCCAAGTACTTCACAAAGAGGGTGAAAAATTCCACTCCTGCTCGGGGTCTCAAGATTCCCCCTGTCCGTTTAAAAATTACGGTCTCTTGGAAAAAAGCCCTTCCAATATCAGCCGGTATTTTTCCGAGTCTGGCAGGAAAGAGGCATTTCCCCTCTTTCATGTAAAACCGGTTTTCCCCTAATAAGAGAATCACACTCTAGCGTACCTGGCGGATTTTCCCCCTTGGAACTGTAAGAGGAGATTCCGAGTTTTAATCGGAAAATTCCCTTATTTATGTAATTATCTTCTTTACCTTTAGAACCTGTAAACTCAAATTCCCTCTCTTCCCGGACTCACCAGTTTCTTGCTCTTCGTGCAAATCTTGATGTTAACCAATGAGCGGAATTATCCTTCTCCACCATGGCATCGTAAATGCCATTTTATGATCACAAGCCGGTAGCAATGTTTCCAACCCCTTGGTTGGAAAGTTACGGTATTTTTTATTTTTATTTTTTTCCAGTGTATGATATTTTTCCCTCCATAATATTTCCCCCCCCCCCCTTTATGGAAATTAATGAAATTCGCCTCGTTCCTCGGCGACCATTTCGTTTAGTGTTCCTCTTACGTCTCCTTGATATTTTTCCCCCCATAATATTTCCCCCCCCCCCCTTTATGGAAATTAATGAAATTCGCCTCGTTCCTCGGCGACCATTTCGTTTAGTGTTCCTCTTACGTCTCCTCTGCCTTGCAAACGGCGAAGCCAGTGTTGATTCCTCGGGGGAATCTCGAAGGCCACATCAAAGATTGAAGACCCGGTGGTAAAAGGCAAATGAAGGCAGGGAAGAAGAAACACCGTCCTCTGCAGGATGTTCTGCTATGATTTCGTTTCTTCAGTTTCTGACAATAAAGATTATATTCTCTTTTGGCAATCAACAAACCTACAATCCTACTTGATGAAACGAACTCCCTTCGTTTCCAATAAGGGACCGGGTGGGGAGAAATATCATAGGACATACGGCGAATAGGAATTTCTTGAAATTATCTCGCCCGAGTCGCTTTAAAATAAGTCGTCGGGCTGTCCGCTTGGCGCATCGATTGCGATTGATGTTTCCCGTCTCAAGCGCAACCTTATTAGTGTATGGTCCTTGCCCAGGGCCGATTCATAGACCTGGCGGAGTAAGACAAATGCGTCCTGTTTGAGGCGTCATTAAACCGACTCCCGAATTGTTCGGTTTTTCTGTTTTTTTTTTTTTTGTTTAGCATAGAAAAAAACTAGAGTTTGTCTTTAAAGTCTTTAAGTTGTTTGGGTCAAGAGCAACAGTCGTTGAAACTTCGATGAGAAAATTCCGCTTTTCCACGTATCGGGAAGAAGCGGTTTCGGCGGTGTTCTACAGATTAGTCGCCAAGGTGCCTGTTTCTCGTAGCAATGTTCTCGATTGTGTAGTGTCATGTTGTATCTTACAAACGAAAAAGCTGTTGCATTAAACTTTTTTTTTTTCTAAGAAAGGCTGGAGAGGGAAGAGATTCCACCGAACAGAATCCACAATTTCAGATGGGACTCTCACTATTCTCTTCCCTCTCCAGTCCTCATACCCCAAACGCATCAAATTTCAATCCTTACCTTCTCACCTGAATCCTTAAGATGCAATTAAGAACATAGTGACGAGGACACAACACAGAAAAGAGTCTTCGTGGCGTCTAAGGAGAAAAATCTTTTTGAAGGCGCTGTATGCATTTACTGCACCCACCTCTTACGCGAAAAGTTACATTTTATGATTGCATCTTGTCACTTTTTATCAGGCGGCCGAGCCACTTGAAACTTTCAAGAAACAAATTTTGTAGTATTTCCAACGTGGGACAAAATGTTACTAACATTTCGTGAGGAGATTCTCAGAACGCGTTAAGGAAAGTGAGGAGTTCTCTCACTTCTCACGAGAAAAGAGTGAAATTCCTCCTGAAATCCAGCCTACGGTGAAGAAGTGCAGTAAATGAAGCTCTCTACTTGGTGTTTTTGCTCCGAATTCACGGCAGCCCTCCGATGCCCCGAATTGGAGGGAAAATCGACGAGAAATTCCACAGTGGACCTCGAGATCCCGGTCTCCATTCGCGGGGAAACCCACGTGGAAGAGGAACGGAGAGAATGCTTTCTTTCCGAGGTCGAAACTCGCATTGGGACGCCTTCATCTCCGGACGCGATGCATTCCACGAGGACAAAAAGGATTCCAATTACTTTTCGCCGATTCTTTCCCCGATAGACTTCTCATGCAGAACGACGAGAAGGAATAGAAGGGCCGAAAGGAAAAGCGTTCTATCACGAAAAAATTTTTTTCCGGCTGCACACGGGAAGTTCTATCGACTGATGCACTTGATCAACTGTACTTTTCTGGGACATTTTTTTGCAGCAGGACCACTCATCCTTTCGGCCATTCAATAATAAATCATCGCGTCCCGGAGTCCTCATTCTATCTCACTCTTTTCTTCATCTCTTCACTCATCACGAGTCCTATCACGAGTATCCACGAGTGCTAGTTGCTCGCACCTGACAAAGATAGAGAGAAACCATGAGAAAAAAGACATCCTGGGACGTCGTTCGACGGTGCGTTGCGAAATTCGATAAAGCTCCTACCCGGACGCGAGTGCATTGCGACTTCAGTTCCAGTCGGTTTCGAATCGGGTCAAGTTCTTCTACCTTTTCGGTTCGACTTCACGCGACCATGCTGAAGGGTGCGATCGTTCTCTTGGTCTTGGCATCTGCCTCTGCCATTCGACTCGGTCCGTCTCGATCCTTCCTTTCTTCCTCCTCGTCGACGAAGGCGCTGACTTTCGTCGACTCTTTTAGGGGATCTGAACGTGAGGGTGGATCCTCGGAAGGTGACGGTGTCGGGTCTGTCGTCGGGAGGCGCCATGGCGACGCAACTCCACGTCGCTCTTTCCTCCAAGATCTACGGAGCTGCCATCTTCGCCGGAAGTCCGAATGCTCGATTTAATCGTAGCGTCCGACAGAACCTTCGCGAAGACGAACGACGAGCACCGTAATTCTTTTTCCCCTAGTCCCGTATTATTGTGCGGATCACCACATGTTCGGCGGGCTGACTGGAGCGACGAGCTGCATGTACAGTCCTTTCCTTTCTGACGTCAACGACATGATCGATGCTGCCAGGGATTTCGACTCCTCCGGAGACATCGATCCCTTGGACAACATGTCCACTAATCGGCACAAAGTCTACGTGTTTCACGGAACCGCCGATTTCACCGTCAATCCCGGTCCGTCTCTGTCATTTATTTATGCCTTTTTTTACGGTCATCTACGAAATCTCACACGCTTCGGCAGCTATTATTTACTAAATTTATTTTCACGCTGTTATACACGGACATTCACGTGCTGGTTTTTTATTTTTCTACGATCGTTGATACTTCGTGAAAAAGACAACGGAGTGGATGTGGAGACTTTCTACCAAGAATTCCTGGCCAGTTCCAGCGACATCATGACGGAATTCTCTCTTGCATCCGGTCATGGATTTGTGAGTTTCTGCTCCTCTTTTCTCTTCGCTTGACAAATTGAGGATTAGCTGGGAAAAAGCAAGTTCTGAGCTTTCAGCGCTTGTAACTGAAGTACTTCGTTATTTTCCAGAGTAGATAGCGATAGCTCCTTTTAACCACTTAACTGGGTATGACGAGTATACTCGTCTTGGGTCCTTGATATGGAAAGAGTATACACTTCTGGGGTTTACGCTCTGGGTACCCAAATGTCACTCATACGAGGGGTGTTCGAGTGAAATTTGGATTTTTGCTTTCTGTGGTACAAAAGGATAAGATAAATGCATGACATTTCGCCCATTTCTCAAAGTACCCGCCTACAACTCATCGTCAAAGAAGAGCACGACTAAGGAGTTCAGCAATTTTTATTAAATTTTGTACGCAATCTCGTACTATTGCACCATGAAATCGGTTTGGGTTTCAAGGGTGTGGAAAGAATATTCACGGAGAAAACTTGTCAAATTCTCCAATTTCAAGAGTGGCAATGGGGTCATACTAATCGCCCCAAAACGGTCTCCTAGAATGATATTTATGAAACGCGGTTCGAAAACTCCTGAAGATGTGAAGAAAAATCGAGCCCAGTTTCCAGGTCATAGGAGGAAGCAGAGAAATTAAACGTCACTCCATTGCATGTGTGAGTAGCACGCAGAAAAAACTACCTGCCCAATATGCTACCGCCGCGGGGAAACTCGCCAGTTAAGTGGTTAATTGAACTTCTGTACTCTCAAATCTCTGCTGTACGCGCTGCGCTCAATGACTAATGTGCCTTTGGAAATGTATCTTCAAATGGATACGATACCAAGTACAGGGTTACAACAGAGTAGATAAAAGCTTTGTTCCTTCCGTCCCAAAGCCAACTGACAACCCAGATGCCAATTCTTGCGGAGCGACCTCGAGCCCCTACATCAACGATTGCAACTATCATGGAGCCTTCGAGTCCCTTAATCATCTTTATGGAGGAGGCCTCGAGAAACCGGAAGGTATGAAAGAAAAAGGCAGAAGTCGCAATGCTTTCGTCAGCGATGAGCTAGCACTTGTACTCGCCTTTCCCTTTAATTGTGACATAATAATACTTAAAAGTGCTCATTAGTATTACTTATACTTATTAGTACTTATAAGTAGTACCACTAACTATAGCAGTGGTACTTAGAAGTGGTTTTTAAAAGTATGGAATGCACATACTAATTAGTACTTTCATGCATAACTTATGTAATAAACGAAGGAAAGATGAGTTCTCTCCTGAGTACTTTCCTATCGTTAGCCCCAGCCCTAGATTTTCACTGAGAACGATGGTGGATGGTGTTAGGGACGGTGGATCTGCCGGGGTCGTTGGAACGCTTCGAGCAGGCGGAATTCTTCGGAGGGAATCCGGGCAGCGACAGCATGGCGGACGAGGGGTTCGTCTACGTTCCATCCAGATGCGAAGCCGGAGAAGTCGTCTGCAAACTCCACATTCCCCTTCACGGATGTAAACAGAATGAGTTCGTACTTTCTTGTCGGCATCGGTCTCGGCTGCAATCTCCGAGGGGCACCCCAGAGGCCACAGGAAACCATCGTGTAAAGATGGTTTCCTACCCCTGGAGGTAGAGGGATGCGGTAACCGGAGAATGCTAATTTAATGCCACGTGATTGCTCACGAAAAAATGTAGCATTCTCACTACTATTGTATTCCCTTAATTGCAGGCGTCGTTTATGGTTACATGGGTGAAACTGGGCAGTATCTTAATGCATGGAGTCGTAATCGATTTCCTCGCGGCGAAAGGTGTAAAGAATTCAGACGTTGTTCGCCATCTTCGGGTGGTGCACAAGTTAGAGCATAGTTTTGCCAATTTTTCCTGTTTTGAACTCGAGACTCCCTGCTCCCTCGATGAGGGAAAACCAAACCAAACCGATAAAGGAGGGAATCCTACCGATGCACTACAGAAGGACAATGAGGACTATGCATCGCTGGGTGGAGGTCGTCATCGCATTGTTCATGTAAAAGTCGTGACAACACTGAATTTTACGTGAGCAGTCGCGTGCCATTCGAATAAACATTCCTCTTCGGTCATCTCTACATCTCTAGGGGGCCGTGTTACACGACGGTTTCCCGTGACTTTTAGAGGTCCTCGTAAAGTCTCCACAAATCATGAAAACCAAGAAACTCCTTTTTAAAAAAATCATGCGAAAACACGCATCTTGTTCGCGACTTTACTCGCAATACGTCGTCGCCGGATACTTGTGGTTGCAGAGACTCAGTGGACGACGCGTACGTGACGATGACCGGATACCTGGAAGTCGGCGAGTTGAACAACATCGTCATGCTATTCCCTCAGACGACGAGTTCGGGGTTCGATAATCCCAACGCCTGTTGGGACTGGTGGGGCTACACCGATAACAACTATCGTATGCAGCGTCTCTCTCACTCCACCCTTTCGTCGGCACGCCCGAGCCATCTCGGATCTGCGAGCTGCGACCGAAGGAGCAGACTCCGATCGACCGGTGACGAGGCACGGGGTGTTCTGGCCTCTGGGAGCACATCCGAGGGCAGAGGGAGCACACCAAGGTACAGGGGCTCGAATCGTTAAGAGCGTTCGAGTCTCTGGGAGCGAGCCAGAATGCAGATACAGAGGGTGCAGTCTGGGGTCTGTTCCCTCGGTCGTTGCGAGCCTTTCACACGGCAGTTCAGGCGTGCGGACGAAAGCGTGCGAAATCTCTCGAAAGGCGAGGCCGCTTTTCTATTCCGATTCTCGGTTTTGTCCGTTTCAGTGGTGAGAGATGGAGTCCAGATCGACGGCATCAGCCAGATGATCGACAGCATCATCAATTGAGAAAGATGAGGTCTCCTCCGCTTCCTTTCCGATCCGGTAATAAAGGGAGCATTCGACAAATGTGTGTTTCCTTTAGCCAGAAGTCTTCCCGTGTCACAGAAGTCCCCGGATAACAGATTCAGACAGTGACGAAAACGCTCTCAGGTGAAAAATAGTGAATCGGTAATTACGGCTTACCCGGACTCCACGAACTCGCTTTCCGATCTCGTCCCAAGTAACACAAGTCATTCCAGCAACGTTTTAAGAATCTTGATGATCGATGTTGCTTCAATGTGTAGATTGCCAAAATGCTCGAATACTGCAAAAGAACATTGCATTGACGTTGCAAATCGTTAGATATGTTTTCTTATGTTGCAGTAACGTTTCAGGACTGTTCAACTGCTTGCACTGCGATTTTGATGGCAAACGTAGCCTCACCTGCAAAATCTATATATTCTGGACCTATATTGGCATTACTACCTGGAAAAGGATAGGCTTCATTCGCTATGAGTTGGACCGAAAATCATACCGATATTGAATTATTTCATTAATTATTTCGTACCACATACTCTAATTCTTTACCCAGATATTGAGGAGACGTTCCCATCGACAGGACGAAGCCTGTACTGGTGTAACCCCTGCCCATGTTCAATACCACGTACAGTACCTGTATCGTGGATAGGGGATACAGTACATTTTGGGAATTTATCTTCTGCTTAATGTGCTAAAAATAGCACATTTCCAGAAACTGTCCATCAATGTACTGTTACTAGGGGAGGGAGTGAACGATGTTTCTTCCACGTTTCGCTAACGGTTCATTCCCCAACACAACAGGGGGTTCTGTCCATGTTTCCGTGGGAAATCTTCCCTTTCGGAATCCATGGCGACGAAATGCAAACGGCGAAGCTAAATTCTCAAATCTCAAAGACGTTCTCTAAGCGCTAAGCAGGATATTCTGTCAAGCTGGTATCTGATGAATGCAGGAGAGAAGTGGATGAGATCCAAGAAAACGTGCGTTTTCGGCACACGCGCGATAGAGTTACCCGCGTCTTTCTTCGTCTTTTCCAAGAATGGCCTGCTTCTGAGAATTTGTTAAAGTTTTTACTCCGTGACACGAGACTCCTCCGAGGAAGAACAGCGCGGTGATGCTCTCGTCAAAAGCTGCTTTCGGCCCATTTTCGAGAGACGGCCACATTTTGAGCGCCCGATATTCGAGCGTTAGGGCCCATGCACACCGACTACGAAGAGATCCGTTGCGACCCCAGCGTCCGTACGGTTCGTATGCGTTCGAGATGCGTGGGACCTTCGGGAGTCGGTTCCTGTCCCATCCAGGGAGCGGTTCGTGCTGCGTATCTACTGACTGCAACTTATGGAATCTTTAGATGATATTTTGGCAGCTCTTTTGGTGGAATGACTTGGGCCGTAGATGATGCCATCACAATCAAATCTCTACGAGCGAGATGCATAAATATATTAAATAAATCAAGAGAGGCTTCGATGACATTTATTTTCCGGATTTTCCATTGTTTCTATCCGTGAATTTTTATTTTCATTTTTTAAGTCGAGAAGCGCCAGTTGTTCGAGTGCAAAAGTCATACCCTCCTTTAAGTGAGTTCTGCATGATTTATGCGTATTTGAGATATACAAAATATTTGTATAGAGTGTGCATTTACATACCTCAAGGACTCTGCCACCATTTGCGCCGGAGGAATGCACGGTCTGAAGTTTGCGTCCTGCAGCAGTCCTCTACTCCAGCAGACCAAGAAGGGTCTTCAACGAGCTCGGGAGACCTTCTCTTGCATATAACTTAATCGAAAAATCACTCCTCGTCTTCGACGATTATATTTTCTACTAGAGTCGCGAATTCTCCTATCTGATGACGGGTCACCTGTACAGGACATTTCAACCACTGCCAAGAGCTTTTTCCCTCCTGGGGCCGCAAAAAAAGTAAAGTGTTTCATCGCGAGTTCTCAAGTCGTACAAATTGTTGGATTCCTACAGAGAACTCTGCGACCAGTATAAGAGATGCTTAAAGTACGGTCGCTGTAAAAAAATAACTGCGAACTTCACAGAAGGTAGCAGTGCAGCTTTACCGCAGCTCTGCGCAGTGTCCATCGGCCGTCGCTCTTTGAACGCTAGTAGATAAACGGGTCGAGAAAATTCAAGCGAAAATCCGACTGAAATTATTCTTCACTTAAAATCTGCCAAACTTGTGCTCGGATGACGGCGATGGACGACAAGGCCTCGTCGACCGGACTACGACCGAAAGACTAACGCTAAGGGCTTAACGAGAGCAAAGGAAATCGAGAGCAGTTCACGACCCGATCGTATTTGAGAAGTTCCTTTGCAACTCGCGACGGTGAGAACCTCGAGCCTGGACGAGTGACTCACGATGAGGAATCTGGTTTCACCCCGACGGTAAGCGTGACGGCCTGAGTCCACCGGACCTGTATGTGCCGTTTCCGAAACGCAGCTTCGAGGCTTCGGTCACGCTATCTCTCCGGTCATTGCGTTAGATCGCAACTGCACGTCTTTTCCTCCGCGTTCCACTCGAAATCACGAGGACTCCCTCCAAAATGTCGGCCTCTGACCTTCTCTCTGTGACGCAGAGGATCGATGACAGGTGGAAAAAGATCGTTCTCTTCCATGGTCGATCTACGATCCCCGAGCAAATTTCCTTAGAGTTTCATGATGTAGGCAACAGATTTCTGTTCCCTAGGGACTTTTCTCTAATCATATCATATATACCCTAGGCGACACGTCGGCACCGACGTGCCATTTGGCTCGCACGCGTTCACGGTACCGATTCCAACACAGAAGGGAAGATCCGTTTCGAGGAAATCCGTGTAGCAGCTAGATAGAAGATGCTTCTCGTGTTGGTCTTGTGCTTCTACGTGTGTGTGGGGGATGCCATTAACCTCCGTGAGTCGCGTTCCGCACTCTCAACGTCTCCATGGGAAAACCCAGGTTATCGTTCCCCTTTCGTTCTCCTTTCGTACAGAGCAGCTGAATATCGACCCGGACGGAGTGACGACGTCGGGTGGCTCCTCCGAAGCGGCGATGGCCATTCAACTGCACGTTGCTCTCTCGTCCAAGATCAGCGGGGCGGCCGCCTTCGCGGGCGGTGAGTCTCGAGTCGTTCTCTTCGTAACGGTACGTTTCGTCCCACCCGAATCCCCAGGAATTTCCTCGCTCGATTTCTTCGCAGTGCCGTACTACTGCGCGAGGGGAAGCGAACTGTTGGCGATGACTTGCGCGCTCCTGCCTTTGCTGTTGGACGTCGACGACATGGTTCAAGACGCCATCGACTTCCAAGCCGACGGAACCATCGATCCCTTGAGCAACCTGGCCGACGATCGCGTCTACGTCTTCCACGGCACGGAAGATCCCGTCGTCAACCCGGGTACGCCCTTTCTCATTAATCTGCGGAAGTTCGCTTCCAGAGTTACGAGATCGTTGCCTTCTGCAGGCGTGTCGGAGGTCATCGTGGAGTTCTACTCGGCATTCATGAGCCCGGACAGGATCGAAACGATGTTTAATCTTGCCGCCGGCCACGGATTCGTGAGTTCACTTCAC